TTCTTTGTATTCTCTCCATCTTCTTTTGATGTTTTCTGGGTTATTCAATATATTGCCCATAGCATCTTTCAATATTGCGACACAAGCTCCAATTTGCTTTTCAGTTCTTTTGACTTGAGAAATGCAGAGCTAGTTTTCCCTTTTTTATTCTCTAACTCCAGCTCTCTGCACATTCTATTATTATACTTTGCTTTGGCCTCCCAAGTTTCCCTTTGAAGTATGTTCAGCTCTTTCACTTCAACATGTTTTCCTTTGGTTTTGGCTTCTTGATGCTCCAGTGCAATCTTTAGAGTCTCGTCTGACATCTATTTTGAGTTTTTTCTTTCTCCATTTTTGTAATACCCTTTTGCTTTCTCCAGGGATGATACCATCCCACAACTCATCTGGTCTTTGATCATTGATGATCCGTACCTTAAACCTATTCTTGAGATGATCTTGAAAATCAGATGGAATTGATTGAAGATCATATCTTGGTTCCAGTGGACAGCACTAGGGGGCTGAAAAATATCAAACGTTTTAGGACATTCAGTTCAGATGTAGGTAGAGTCTGGGTTCAGAGAGTAAAAATGGTCACAGAGTAGTGTTGTTGTTGTTGATTGCCTTCGAGTCAAGCACGACTTATAGTGACCCTATGAACAAAAGGCCTGAAGCCCTCCACAACTAACAACATTTATCAACGTTCATAGGGTTTCCAGAGGCATGTTGTTTAGGAAGTGGATGCCACTCCATGCTTCTGGAGTAGTGAGGTGCCTCGCATTGGAAGAAGGAGGAATTTGAGAGAGACCAGGGCATTGAATGGCCATGTTTGGTGAATAAGTCTGTTAGCTTCCCTTGCCAAGTAACCTTCATCCCCAGAGCTTTGCCTCAGGGCCACAGGTTGAGAAAGCTGTGAGCTGGTTTCTGAACATATCGAGAAGATTTGGTATATGATCCTCAGATACTAAAGTCCTAAAAAAATTAAAGAAAAACTCCAACACCAGTTTAGGTTTGGGGTTTAATTCCAGGGATACAAGAATGGTTTGTAAAAAGGAAAAAAATCTCTGGTACATCAAAGTCATGGAAAACATCCAGTTCTTTTTTAAAATTGTGGAAAAAATTATGTATTCTAAACCAAGAGCCAACATTAAACATCGGAGTGAAACACTGGAAGGCTTCCCCTTAAAATCACAAGACAAAAAGAGTTTAGAAGTCAAATATTATTGTGAAATTCGTAGAACTTTCACTTACGTGTGCTGCCCTTTGCTTTCCAGAGGAAGCAGTTAAAACAAACAAATATCCTAAAATGGGGCTTCTGTGAAGGGCCCTAGTGGTGCAGAAACTTCATTGTTGGGTAGTAACAGTAGCTGCCCTTTGGGATGAAGACGTGGCAATCTACTTCTCTAAAGATGACAACTTAAGAAACTCTAGGCTGTTAGACTGTCAGCAAGAGGTCACATGGATTTGATGACTCCCAATAACAGAGTTCATGTGCTAGTCTTGGAGACTTTAGAAAGGGCTCTGAGATAATTCACTCAGCATAATGTCCTCCAGGTTATCCATTTTGCATAATATTTAATGAGTTCCTCGTTTTTCGAGGCAGCATAGTGTTCCATTGTGTGAATATATCAGAGCTTCTCTATCCATTTGTTGATGGGCACTTGGGTTGTTTCCAGCTCTTTGCTATTACAAACAAAGCTGCAATAAACATGGGTGTGCATATATCTGCTTGGGTGGTAGTTATGGCTTTAGGGTAAATTCCCAGTAGTGGAATTGCTGGGTCAAATGGTATTTCTATTTGCAACTTTTTGAGAAAGTGCCATACAGCCTTCCATAATGATTGCACCATTTTACACTCCCACCAACAGTGAATAAGGGTTCCAGTCTCTCCGTAATATCGCCAGCATTTGATGTTTGTTGTAGGGCCACTGTTGTAAAACGGGACTGACATCAGGGTTGAGGGAAGACAGAAAAGGAGGGGAGGAATTTTGTATATTGCATTGAAACAGATGAGGAGTAGAACTGTTTAAAAGGTATCTATGAATGGGTATTCTTGTCATTACAGAAGTCCAGAGTGAAGGCTAGATAATTGAGTGGACATGGGGGGAGGGATTGTATAACAATGAAAGAGTTTTTCTTTTCAAGGAGAAGAGTGAATGCAGGGGAAGGGGGAGTGGGCAGGGAGAAAAGTGCAACAGTGAATGATTGGAAACCCTAAGTCTGTATACTTTCATTGAAATTCATTAAAAATTTAAGACGAAGAAATGACTCTAGGGAGAGGGTGTGGCTCTCTCGAGGCAGGTGTGGGAAAGGGGACCCCAGGGACAGAGTGCAGATGCCCTCCTGAGGGCAGCTGAGTAGAACTCACAAAGACATGAGATGTCTTGGCATCTGTGTCACTTCTGGTTGAGCTGGGCTAAAGTGACTCCTTCTCATAAAGGAATTGAGGTCGTTGAAGAGCCAGTGCAGGGAGCTCCTCGCAGTGGGGCTGCTCACACTGTCCCCATCCTTGCCCGTTAGCTGATTTCTACTTTCCCATCTGGCCAGTACCCTAAGCGCTTGTTGTGGGCCCTCGAGTACTGGCTGCCACTCCCACACTGCCCACTGGGGGTGATCTGAGCCCCACAGCACTCCTGGTCATCTGGTAGACGCCCCTTCTCTTGGGCAAGCCTAGGAAAGGTTGGTGGTATTTTGCCAAAATATGCAACCAACCTACTGAGTTTTTAAAATAACTAGAAAATGTTGTTTGGTGCCACCGAGTGAGCTGTGACTCATGGAGTTCCTGTATGCACAGTGTCTGACCCTGTCCCATCCTGTCCTGTCTTCCTTCTTCCCAACGTGCTCACCCCACTGTCAGTCACTGTGTCGTTAGTCACTGTGTCAGTCCGGCTTCTGAAGTCTTCCTCTTTCTCTGACTCCTCACCTTTCCCGGCGTGAGGTCCTTTTCCAAGGGCTGGTTCCTCCTGCAGATGTGCCGGATGTATGTGAGACCACGTTTTACCGCTTCTGCCTCTAAGGAGCATTCTGGGTACACTTCCTCCGAGACGGAGTTGTCTGTTCCTTTGGAAGGCCATACAGAGTCGAGTCAGTACTTTTCTCAAAGACCACAATTCAAAGGCATTGATTCTTCTTCAATCTACTTTATTCATTGTCCAACTTTCAGATGCATCAGAAGCAACTGAAAATATCATGACTTGAGCAGATACGTATATAACGTAGATGCAGCTATTTTATTTTTCTGCTTAGTATTATTTTGCCAGAGTGGCATCCACTTCCTAAACAACATGCCTCTGGAAACTCTATGAACTTTGAGAAACGACAATAATTACAGAAAGTCTTCAGGTCTTTTGTTCATAGAGTTGCTATGAGTCATGCTTGACTCCATGGCAATAAGCAACAGCAATAGTAATATTATTTTGTCTTTAAAGTTAATGTATCCATAACTTGTTCTGTGCTTTAGTAAGGAGCCCTGGTAGCACAATGGTTCAGTTAGAAACGTTCAACTGCTAACTCAAGGTTTGTCGTTCAAAGGCCCCCAGTGGTTCCACAATGGAAAGCCAAGGTGATTTGCTTCTGCAGAGATTACAGCCGAGAACTCACTCCAGGGCCATTCTACTCTGTCACAGAGGATTGCTCTGAGTCAGAATCAGAATAATCAGAATGTTTTACAATAAAAAATGTACTCAAGGCCTGAAGATAAGGAAAAGGAACAGATCCTTGGAGGGGATCAAGGACTGCAGATGATTGTCTACAGTTAGAGATGAAACACAACACCAATATCAATAATTCTTATTTCTTGGAAGCCAGGAGAGGTGGGGAAGACATTTTCCACTACATGACAAAATAAAGCATTTCAGCTTCCCAAGAGAAATGAGAACCACAGCTGTTTATTACTGTCATTGTTCTGTGCCATGGGGCTGGTTCCTCCCATGGTGACTTCATCTGCCCCACAAGGAGCCCTGCCCGATCCAACACCGTCTTTACAATCACTGCTGGCCTTGGGCCCATTGATGCAGTCACTGAGTCAATCTATTTTACAGATTATCAAAATTCTTTTTTTAAAAAAATATGTGAATCCTGTCACGGTGGTTAGAGGTCACCAGGTACATGTACTTCTGTTTGATCTGTCCTAAACATTCTTACTGTCCCTCAGGGAGGTTTGACCTTCCCAAGCACAAAGCCAGTGCCGCCTTTTCTTCCTGGTCCAGTCTTCTTCCCTTGATGTTCTACACTGTGTTCTTAGCTCCTCAGTAAACACGTCATAAACTCATGCCATCACAGGGCAGACACATATAAAAGGTCACCAGCCAGGTGACAACTCCAGTCATCAGCATGAGGAACGTACCTTGAACCTTGGATGCGTGGGCTTGTGTGATGAACACAGTGGGCTGTGGGGGTGAGGGGACGGAGGACAGGGGTGGGGGGCAGGCAAGCACGATGTTTCTTTATCTCAGCCGGGCCTTGGCCATGTTAGACCTGGTCTTCGGGTCATAGGGCTGTCTAGCAAAGTACCACAAACTAGGTGGCTTCCAATAGCAGGAAGTTATTGTCTCCCAGTCCTGGAAGCCACAAGTTCAAAATCAAGGTGTTGGTTGTGTTGCTTCTGTTTCAGTATTTGGAGAGAAACTCTAGTCCATCTGCTCTCGTCCCTTCTGGTGACGGACAGTCACCCAATCTTCATACGGTCATCTGTCATCTGTGTCTCTTTTCCTCTTTTAAATGGACGTTGTTATCATTGGAGAAAGATAGGCAGTCGTCTCTCCTTCGATGTACAGCCTCTGAAAACCCACTGGAGGGGCAGCTATGAGTCGGTTCAAACTTAATGGCACATTAACATCAATAACATGGTTGGATTAGACCCCATCCTACTCCAGTATGATCTCATGTTACCTGCATCTCCAAACACAAGGCCATACTCACCAGTACAGGGTTAGGAAATCACCATGTCTTTCAGGAAATGCTTGAACCCATGACAGAATCCTTCCCCCAAAGGATTTAACTCTGGACCCCACTTTCTCCCTCAGGAGGCCTACGTGACCTGCCAGGATTACGTCCGACTGGTGGGTGAGCTGGTGACTGTCTTTGGAGCCGTGATCATCCTGCTGGTGGAGGTGAGGCACAGGTAGCACCCAGCGGAGGCTTTCTGCCCAGAAGTCAGCTTCAGCTGCGCCATGGGGAACTTAAAGGCTGTATCTCTGTGTCTCCCTGACCTCCCTTCAGATTCCAGACATCTTCAGAGTTGGGGCTTCTCGGTATTTCGGGCAGACCATTCTTGGGGGTCCATTCCATGTCATCATGTAAGTGTTTCCTTCTCCCGGGCCCCTTCTTCCTTTCTGAGTCCTTCCAGGTCTCCAGTTCATTTTCTGCGATCTAGACCTAGCTAGTCCTCAGCTGCGAAGTTTCTGGTGGGCATGGGTCTAGGACTGGGGGTATGTGTTAGTTAGATGTAAGGACTCAGCTGGACTGTGTGCCCTGTCTCAGCACTCTATTGCCGCCGGTCCCAGGATAACACATTCCTTTCCTTGCATCCCCAGAATCACTTATGCCTGCTTGGTGCTGGTCACTATGGTCATGAGGCTCACGAATGCCAGTGGGGAGGTGGTGCCCATGTCCTTTGCCCTGGTGCTGGGCTGGTGCAGTGTCCTCTACTTTGCCCGTGGATTCCACATGCTGGGCCCCTTCACCATCATGATCCAGAAGGTTCGTGCCTCCCCCGGCTCTCTCTCGTCCTCAGCCATAGAACATGTTTCCAGAGGGATGAGTCAGTGTATGGACGCGAGAGGAAAAGTGCTATTGGTGTGGTGCTGGTGGGATTTTGGGGCCTCCTGGTGGTTACGGTAGCTGCCTAGGGACCGGTGGAGGAGGCCTCTGCCCAGCCCTCTCCCCTTCTCTCTCTCGGTAGATGATCTTCGGAGACCTGATGCGATTCTGCTGGCTCATGGCTGTGGTCATCCTGGGCTTTGCCTCAGGTAATACCTCCACTTCCTCCTCCAGTTCTCCTCATTCTTGTTCGCAGTTCTTCTTTAAAGTTAAAAAGAGCGAGTTAAAAACCACACCCATCTCCGAAAGATTGGGCCACTTGGATTAGGGTGGAGGTCAGCGAGACCCATGTGTTTCAAGTTTAGAGTAGAGGGAAAGAAGAATTTTGTAGAGAGTGGGACATTATACAAGAAAGACTGGCCAGTCATGGGCATTTGAGAAGTATGTGGGCAAATAGAGACGGTGTTTAATTTCCTACAGTTACGACTCAAGAGGACAAACAGAAGCATTCAGTAAGACATAATGTTCTCTTTTTCTACCTATGGGCATTTTAAGTTAAGAAAAGAATTTTTTTAAAAAAAGAAGTTGCAGAAACAGAGTTTGAGATATGGAAGAGGAAAACAGGAAAAGAACAGTTGTGAAGAGATGGGAGAACAGAGATGGGCAGAGACTCGGGCAAGGTGAGGTGGAAGGAATCGTGAGAAAGAGAAGGAAGAGAAAGAAAAAGACCTGAGACCAACCAGAGGGTGGGGAGGTGACGAGAGAGCTCTTTGGGAGATACAGAATTCAGAAGGATCCTGATAGGAAGAGAGAAAGGCCTACAACTCGAGCCACGCCTCAGTTTCTCCAGCGGGTCATCCATAAAACAAAGGGACTGTACAAGACAATATCTGAAGACTTCTCAATGCTCATAGATACGACTGCATACATGGGACACTTCCAATGTTCTCACAGGACAGTAGCACAGGGAGGAAAAAGCAGCAAAAAATCAAAACCCACCCACCCCCAAAGATGTGAGCAAAACCCACCCCAAAGATGTGAGAGATGAAAGGCTGGAGCTGAGAGGCAGCAGAGCTCGGGCCTGTGGTCGTCTGGCTGTGGGGAGCGTCTCCTCTGCGTCCTCAACTCTCCTCACCCCACCGCATTTACATCTACCCCTGTGCAGAGGCTCTCCTGAGAACTTGGCTGTCGGTGCCCCCGTATCCTGAACCCCCGAACGAGCTTTTCGTGGCTCTGTGCTGGCTTTCTCTTCGATACATCAGCAGTGTTCTTCATAAGCCCTGTTTCTGCTCCTGGGATCAGTTTACCGTGTTAGGTCACAGTTTCCTATACAGAGAGGGATCTGAAAGGTTCTGGTAATTCTGCTTTAAGATCCCGGGGTGCACACATTGGTGGTCACTGCACAAGGACAACTTTCTAATGGTGGAACTCTCAGGGCAGCGGACGGTGGTCACAGGCCTTCGGGATTGGAGAAAAGCAGCTGCTCTCTCTCCTCATGCACTCAGCTCCCTCACACTGGTACAGACGCCATGCATTCTTGTAACAACTTGCCTCTTAAATACATACTTTTCTGAAATGCAAAAACCAGTTAGGTGACACACTTAACGTATCTTTTATGCTCAGTGGCTGATTATCAGATGACACCTGTTGAATTCCAGAGGAACATTTACTCGCAGATCTACACTTTTGGATGTGTGTGTGTGTGTGTGTGTGTGTTAGAGTAGATGCAGGTGTGTATGTTGGAAAGAGGGTGGGCACTGAGCAGGCCTAACTGGTCCCCCTCTCCACGCCCTCTCGTGGGCGGAGCAGCGTTCTACATCATCTTCCAGACGGAGGACCCGAACAACCTGGGCCATTTCTATGACTACCCCATGGCGCTGCTCAGCACCTTCGAGCTCTTCCTCACCATCATCGACGGGCCAGCCAACTACAATGTGGACCTGCCCTTCATGTTCAGTGTGGTCTACTGCGCCTTCGCCATCTTCGCCACACTGCTCATGCTCAACCTGTTCGTCGCCATGATGGGGGACACTCACTGGCGGGTGGCCCAAGAGCGAGATGAGCTCTGGAGGGCTCAGGTGAGTCTTCCGGTACTAACCCTGCTAACTGAGTTAAAGTAGAAAGACAAGGGAAATAAAGGAACGCTTCAGTACAAACACAGTAGTCACAACGATGGGATCAAACAAAACCCAAGGTCACACCGGTAGTGCAGGACCAGGAAGCATGCTCTTACCTTGGTACATAAGGTCACTGTGAGGTGTTGCAGGTTCAGTGGTTCCTCTCAACACTCCTGGTAAGAGAAAAAGGATGGAGGAAAAACAATAAGCTTAGCGAGCTATGGCATGATGTGGTCTCATAAGAGACCACAACATAACCAGAAGAGTTTATAGCTTCCACAGAGGTTCGTGTGAACCCGCAGCCCCTGAAGGTCAAGTCCTAGGGTGTAAGGGAGAGATGGGGTTTGTGCTGAGAGGAAAGGAGGCAGCCGGGGAATCGCACTGGGTTCCAGTGAGAGCTATGAACTCTGGTGCTGGTGTATTCTGGCTCCTTTTTGGGAGATGAGATCTTTTTTATTCCCCCCTCTCTCTTAGACAGTCATGTTTTCCCCTGACTTCTAGGCTGTTCTCATCATGTTGTTATGTGCCATCAAGTCAACTATAACTCATAGTGACCTTCTGAATGACAGATCTGAACCTTGCCCTCTCCTGAGCCAACCTCACGATCTCTGACACACTTGACCCCACTTGCCACAGTCACTGTGTCGATCCATCTCATCAAGAATCTTCCTCTCTTGCACTGACCTTCTAGCCTTCCAAACACAGTGTCCTTCTCCCAGGACTGGCCCTCCTGACAACATGACCAAAGTATGTTAGCTGACGTTTCACCATCCCTGCCTCCAAGGAGCATCTTGGTTTCACTTCCTCCATAAGAGACTTGTTTCATCATTGACTAATAAAATATTCCACTTAGAAGTACTTTAGTGGCCCTCTCATTGGAGGGCCTATATAATGTCATATCACTTGTTAAAGGGAAGTCATTCAATATACTCCTGAACACGGATTAGGAACATTTTTTTTTTTCATTGATATGCATAAAAGTTGAGGAAAAGTGGGCTTTTGTATATGTTGGAAGTTTTTGGTATTAGAAAGGCCCAAGTTGAATTGAACTCCACTCCTTCTCCCTATGATCCCTCCCTCTGGCCCTAGTTTTCACCTTTGTGTAACACAGAACATGCTTATTCATATGTGCACTGTTCACATACTTGGACATAGCTGTTATGCATCCTGGCAGACTTTATTTACAAAGAATTATTTAGATGAGGTGGGGACATAGTATCAACTCAGCAAGTTTAATCTGTACCGTCTTAGAGCTTGGTGTGCAGTTAAGAAGACAGAAATAACCAACGTGTGTCCTGAAGGCAGCTGCACAGTGACAGTGGTGGAAAGTTCCAGAGTAAGCACAAAGGACGAAGAGAAGGATGGGAGCTGGGAGTCTAACTGGGGAGTGAGGACACACTGACTAGGTGAAATTTAAGATGAGGCCATAAAGACGGGAAGGAATCAGCCAGTTAGAGATCAAAGATGAGGTCTGTGCTCATCAGGACTTTGGGCTGTAGGGACAGACATAAAACCAGCCTCCCGCAGACTTTCACAAGAAAGGGCACTGGGAGGAGGTGTTAATCCTCAAAACAGGTATTTAGAGGATTAATCTTGCTTTAGGCAGGTCTGGCAGGAGCCCAAATCTCCATCACAGAGACAATATCAGATTGTCATCCTGATCCCTTCTGTGCAAGCTCTCTCATGGTGATGGTGAAATAGCTCCGAGATGCTCCTGCCTTCCCCAGGGGAAGCAGATCCACGGTGCTGCAGAGTCACCAGGGCACCATCCATGCTGTTTCCCGTGTGCCACAGGATGCTGTGCAGTCCTACAGCTTTAATAGAGGCTCTCTCCCCTAGCACGCGCAGTTCCACCGGACTGAAACAAATGTGGATCTCAAACTCATCCTTGAGTCTAAGACCGCAGTTAAGAGCTGAGTAACGGATGTGGTAGAAATGGTGGTAGTGGTGATGATGCCGTTAGTGGACATGGTGGTGGTAGTGTGATTAAGGTGGCAGTGGTGATTACAGTGCTGTAATGTGGTGACTGTGAACATGGTAGTGGACATGGTGGTGCTGATGGTAGTGGTGGTGATGGTGGTAGTGGACATGGTGATGGTGATGGTCATGGTGGTGGTGGTGATGGTGGTGGTGGATGTGGTGATGGCCATGGTGGTGGTAGTGGACATGGTAGTGGTGATGGTAGTGAATGCGGTGGTGATGATGGTGGTAGTGGACATGGTGATGGCCGTGGTGGACATGGTGATGGCCATGGTGGTGATGGTCATGGTGGTGCTGGTGGACATGGTGATGGTGGTGGTGGACATGGTGATGGTGGTAGTGGAAATGGTGCTGCTGGTAATGGTAATTGCGGTGATGGTGGTAGTGGACATGGTGATGGTGGTGGTGGACATGGTGCTGGTGGTAGTGGACATGGTGCTGGTGGTGGTGGTAATTGCGGTGATGGTGGTAGTGGACATGGTCATGGTGGTGGTGGACATGGTGCTGGTGGTGGTGGTAATTGCAGTGATGGTGGTAGTGGACATGGTCGTGTGGTGATGTTGGTGATGATAGGATATGATGGACGTGCTGGGCAAGGTGGTGATGTGGTGGTCGTGACAGCAATGACAATAGTGTAGCCATGGTAGTGGTGACGGTGGAGGTGATGATGACTGTGGTAGTGAGGATAGCAGCATGTGGGTGGTGGGGGGGATGTTGCTGGTACTGAGACTGTGTCCCGGTCAGTCTACTGTGCCCAGTGGCAGTGGGTGATGGAGCAGTGCCCACTGAAGAGTGAGTTTGGAAGCCGAGGTCCCTACCGCGCTGTAATCCCACCACGAGTTAGCTGGCTGCTCTAGTAAACACACGGTTAGCCTTTGTGGAGTTTGTGAACGGCCAGAACCCCTGCCTGGTGGCTGCGTTACGCCTCTGCCCGAGCACCGCTGCTTTACTCAAGCAGCACAGCCCAAGACCTGCCGTCTGAGTTCGAGCTCCACAAACGGCATTTTATGGTGTGAGACGAGCATTTTAGTCTGGTGAGGTCACTTTTTATTGTTTCTGTCACCATCCCTCCCAGATTTGTGTCACAGGCATATCTGATAAGCATAGTCTGTTTCATCTAAGTGATTAATGAAGGTTAAGCAGAGAGCAGAGCATGTGATGTGCCACCGGGAACTCCCCTCCCAGAGTCGTTAATCAGCTGCCTTCCTCAGGTTAAGTGTTGACATTGCTGCAAAGTCCTTGACTTCGCATCATCATTTTATCCTCTGTATCATAAAGGCTGATTTAATGATTTTATTTTCAGGACTTTTGGTCTGTGGCTTTCCTATGAAAAGGGAAATAAGATTAGTTTGGAATGACACCGTTTCCTTGAATCTAAATGATGTTGCTGTTCAGTGCCATCGAGTGGACTCCAACTCTTAGTGACCCATGCCCAGTGGATCGAACCCTGCCCAATCCCACCTGACCATTCGCTTTCCTCACAATCTCTTCTGTGCTTGAAGCCATTGTTGCGATCACTCTCAACCTTTCTCAAAGGTCTTCCTGTCTTTCGCTGACCCGCTACTTTCCCAAACTGAATATTTTTCCCCCCAAGGCCTGGCGCCTCCTGTCTGCGTAAATCTGCTTCGATATCCCCGGTGAAGGCTGTAGAACGAACAAGTGCCTCACACAGACTATGGAGTGGGAGAGAAACTACTGCGGAGAGCCAGACTGCCATCCTCCCCACTGGCCTGGCATCCTTGTCTTGCAGTGCTCTCTGGTCCCCTCCCTCAGTGACCTCAGCTCTCTGGACATGGTGGCTGTGAGTCTCCCCCTCTCTCTTGCTCTTCCAGATTGTAGCCACGACAATGATGTTGGAGCGGAAGCTGCCTCGCTGCCTGTGGCCTCATTCTGGCATCTGTGGGCGCGAGTTTGGGCTGGGGGACCGCTGGTACCTGAGGTGAGTGACAAGCTGCAGGCCATGTGGGTATGGGCACCTGAGCTGAGGCCGTGCCTCCCTCGCCATTCTCCTTCTTGAGATCCCTTGTCTCTAGAGGAGTCTTCACTCTACCAAGTGACACTACAATGACCTGGGAAGGGGAGTGAGTGGAGCTGCTGGGAATGCAGACACCAGGCTCGTGTGTACGCACCCCTTAGTGCATGTGGGCTCATGCGTGTACATCATTATGGGCTCGTGATGTGTGTTCTTGGCTGAATGTGAGCTCTGGGCATGGAGACAAGACCTGCATTCATCTTTCTCCACATTCCTGGTCCCTCTAGAATCCAAATTCCTCCTTTACACCTGTGCTCAAACCCTCAACTAGCTCTCTCCCCCGCATACATTTCCAGAGCTCCTTCCTTCTGGTCCTGGAGACACAAGGATCCCATCACTCTCTCCCAGATTCATGTCCCCCTATCCAGAGTCTTGGATCAAAGCGTGGCTACCCGCCTCCTCACCTTCCCTCTACGCCTGCCCAGCCCTGGCCCCCTCCTGACGTCACCTCTGCTCTTCCTCTCCCACTCACCTCTCTTCTCACCTCCCCACTACAGAGTGGAGACCCACCATGAGCAGAACCCCCACCGAGTGCTTCGCTACATGGGAGCCTTCAAGGGCCCTGACAAAGACGACGGGCAAGACCAGCGTTCAGGGGAGCCCTCTGGGGCTCACAGTGAGATCCGCACCAGAGCCTCACTGGCCCCACCCGTGCCTTCTCTGTCGCGGACCACGTCCCGTAGCAGCAGCAGCAGCAGCCACCGAGGCTGGGAAGTCCTTCGTCACAACACCTGGGGACATGTGAACCTAGGGCTGGACCTCAGTGAGAGGAATGGGGAGGAGAAAGTCTACCAGATCTGATGAGGACCTTGACCTAGGTCTACTCTTGACCTAGATCTGGGTGGGCTTGGAGCGTGCAGAGAGGAAGACATCTACCTGTCTTCCATGTTTGTTGATCTCTGGCCAACACAGGGTGTGGAGAACATAGTTCCCAGAGATCCTGTCTCACCTGCATTTCTGTGGATGAACAATGGGGAACACGGTCCCATTAGCTTCTGGGTCCTTGGGATACCCCACAACTCACCTGAGGACTGGGAACCGGCAGAGTGGACTAGAGTGGGTAGAGTGGACTCATCCTAAGGCTGTCTGTGGCCCACAAGGATACTAGATGGTGGTGTGCTGGAAGCCCGCTCAGTTCCACAGGGCGAGTGTGGAAGATCCACACTGGAAGCTGGTGACTCTGCTGAGGTCTTTTCCTCCTGGAAACGAGCCCACGTAGCGAGCTGTGAGGAGCAGAGTCCACACTAGCATTCCTCTTGCTCCCTGGCGTGTTTTCAGGACGGGATCACTTGTGCCTTGGGTGGCTCAATGGTTTCTTCCATGAGACCTTTCTGCTCCGTCTCCAGAGGCCCCTCAAGCGCCAGCCCCTCCTGCATCTCCTGCCACAGCCTTCCCACCTCCTGTGCCCCGTGAGGAGCCATGGCGTGAATGCAGGATAGAGGGGTGGGGCCTCCTAGTTCTGATGGAAACTTCGGCACTTAAGAACCTGCAACCACAGTTCATGGACAGTTCATGGACAGTTCTTGGTCCTCATCCCTTCCTGCCCGTCTGCCCCTGTCCATTACCTTTGTCACAAACCCGCAGCAGCTTCTGGAAGGTCTGTGGTCTGGACTGGTGGAGATCAGAGCAGATTGTAACACAGACGCAGCAGACACACTAGGACACAGCACTGCGACCGACACGGGGATTCACACATGCGCAGAGATGTAAGTGCACACACACACTCATGCATGTACTAACATTCACACCACTCGTGTGCACACGTGTTAATGCACATGCATGTGTGTGCACACTCACATGTAAACCAACGCACATGTTGGAACCCAGGTGGTGTGGAGTTTAACGTGTTCACACTTCCGCATCCCTGTGTCTCCTTTCCTGACAACCACGTCCTGTTCCTGCTAAACTCCCCTACGTCTCTGCCTCTGTGTGTCTGTCTGCCTCTGCCTGTCACTGTCCTTTAACTCCACACTTTCTTCTCGCCACTCTTGTCCCCCTAGCTTCCTCTCCATCTCAAGAAGCTGCACACACCCTTGCTCCTGCCTACTCCTTCCAACCCTAGTTTCGTGCCCCTTCGGGGCCAGACTTCTTAGCAGTGATCCGCATTGTCTGGCTCTCCCGAGTCCTCGGCTATTGTGGACTGGCCTTGCCTTCTCCATACTTTAGATGTTACTCTTACCACGCTGGTCTACCCATGGCCAGGTCATGGGACAGCCTTGACCTGACCTCCCCAGAGCATCCATCTATAGGGGACCGCTCAACACTCCTGGCTTCCCTGACCAGCCTTGCCGCCGCTCGTCAGTATCAATCTCTTCAACATGTTGGCCCCCGAGGCCTTGTCCAGGGATCCCTGCTTTCTTCTCCACTTGAGTAGTCCTACCTTCTCCAATGGCTCCGTGAGCTGCCAATGCTGGGGACCCTCACGATGTGTCAACAGTCCCTCTCTGTCTCCCGACCTCCAGGCAAGAGTGGCTGGGTTCCCGTCTAGCAGAGAGCTCTGTCTGGCATTTCACAGACATCGTAAGTGTTTTCCAGCACAAGCGCCATCCTCCTTCGGCAAACCTGCTCTTCCACCAGGTCTCCAACCAGCCACAGCAGCAGATAGACAGACTGCCTGCATCCTGGCATTGACCTCACCACTTGTCTAGGGCTCCTGCCAACAAGGAGTAAGTTCACGGGTTCTATCCCCTAAGCACACCCTCTGGAAAACAGGAAGTCTGGAACTCCTCAGGCGTTACAAGATCAAGAAGCGCCCAGTTGTCCAGGGAAGGTAACAGTTCCCCCACCCCTGCCACCCACACGTTCTCTCCAGGGACAGCCACTAGTGGAGGTTCATTGTTTATTCTTCAAAAAATAGGCTACGTTCCCCAGGTGAATGCACGCATGCATTTGTCTTAAGGGCACATGTCGTGAGGTAATAGCTAAAGTGAGCCCATCCTAAGCCTTGGGCTTTTCAATGGCCTCAGAAGCATGTGCAGGCTGGACAATAGAAAGGGCGACAGAAGAATGGGTGCATTCAAGTGGTGATGTTGGCCAAGAATACCAGCTGCCCCATGAACCACCAGAAGAACAACCCCGTCTGTCACAGGACAGAGGACAGCAGAGCGCTCCTTGTAAGAGAAGATGCTAAGACTTTGTCTTGGTTCTGTTGGGCACATCACCGGGGAGGGCCAGTCACTAGGAATGGACATCAAGTTTGGTAAGTGGTCAGGGAAACCTCACCAAGATGAATGGACACACCATGGCTATGTCAATGGACTCAAAAGAACCGTCAGTCACGGAGATGACACAGGACCAGACAGTGCTTGTGATGTTGACCCAGATCAGGTCACCATAAATGAGTCACAATGACAATGAACTACGGCAGTAGCGAAGGACAGCATTCTTGGTTCTCTCACAATGATACACGTTGAAGCGTGATCCATGTCAGTATCACATGACAAGTAATTCTCCACTTCTCTCTGCCTCCCCAAACCTACTGCCATGTTCCGGAGCAGCAACCACCATCCCCTGCTGCTCTACCAGGCGGCCCCCTGACTGCTCTTCTCCAAGATGGAACTCAACACTGAAGCAAAGATGGGCTTAAGAAAATGCACCTCCCACCTTAAGCTGTTGCCTCCTGAAGTCCTTCCATGAGATGACCTCCCATCTCCTCACTCTCTCTAATCCAGCAAGCTGGATACTGCTGATTCCCAGACAGGACTGTGCTTTCCTGGGCCTTTCTGTCTCTGCACTTGGATGCCCTTCCATGTTCATAGCCTGGGTTCATCTTATTGGTCCCAGCTTAAAGATGGCACATTAGTGATTAGGGTATTTGGAGGGGGATGGATCCCATCAACTTTGGCTAAATTAGAATTCTTTCTGCTCTGTGTTCCTAGATCATGCTCTGTGGGTTTTTTCTTTTATCAGTGGTCACACTTGATTGCAATTACGTGTTTAAATGTCTCTCTGCTTTGGTAGACTGTCAGCATCAGCCTTGTCCACTAGTGTCCCCAGTATTGGGAACAAGTCCTGGGACATGTTGTTGTTATATACCATCGTAGCTTGTGACTCATAACAACCTTATGTATAATAGCCTTAAACCCTGCTCTACCCTGTGCCAATCTTATTGTCTCTAACACACCTACCCTCATTATCCCAGTCACTGAATCAATCCATCTCATCAAGGGTCTTTCCCTCCTGTGCTGTCTAGCCACCCTTCAAAGCATGATGTCCCTCTCCAAGAACTGGTCCCACCTTGCAACATGTCCAAAGTGTGTCAGACGAAGCTTCAGAATCCTTGCCTCCAAGGAGCTGCCTGATCTTGTTCTCCTAACAGTCTGTGGTTTATTCAATACTTTTCTCCAGCACCACAGCTCAGAGGCATCAACTCTCCTTCTATTATCCCTAGTCATTGTCCAGCCTTCTGATATATAGCAAGTAATTGCAAAGACTATGGCCTGGATCAGGTACACCTTAGTCTTCAAACAGACAGTTACTCTTCAGTACTTTGGAGAGGTCTCTGACAGCAGACTTTCCCAATGCAATTCATCTTTTTTACTGGCTGCTGGTGCCAAGAGTGTTGGTTGTAGAGCCAAGCAAATGAAAGCAGTTGACAGTTTCTTCATCTATCATGATGCTGCCGATCAGCCCAGTGGTGAAAATCTTTGTTTTCTTGATACTGAGTTTAGTGTGTAATAAATATTTATGACTGAGCCTGTGCCTGGTTGACTTGTGTCTCCACACCATCCCTGGGTTGCCCAGGCCTGTCATAGGTGGTGAGGACATCTGCCCTACGGTAAGGCTGTTAGCATTGGAGGTGAACACACGACATGCGTGGACATTCTGGAAAAGTCAAAGCCCTCTGCAAATGGTAGTGAGTACTGGAACTATGTCTCAGCTTACGTGTATTTCCCTGTGTGAGGAAGGGGAGAGGAAGAAGGAAAAGAGTATGCGTACCCCCATCCCTGTGCATGTGCCCCCTGTTCACGGTAGTCAAGATGGTCCACCAGAGCTTCCATGTCTGCCCTAAAGCCTCAGGTTGATAAACCCCGCACCATGCCACAAGGTGGCAGAGCATGTGACCCTGACGTAAGATGTCCTGATGGGATTGTCAATCAAGAAAAACCCTATGAGCTGTTTCCATGCTGTTGTGATGGTGAATAACACTGCAGTGAACATTGGTGTACAAGTCTCTGCGCCTCAGTTCTCATTTTCTCAGGGTGTATTCCAAGTAGTGGAATAGCTGGGTCATATGGAATTTCTATGTTCAGCTTTTTGAGGAAGCGCCAAACCGCCTTCCAGAATGGTTGTACTATTTTACAATCCCACCAACAATGTATAAGAGTTCCTTTCTCACCACATCCTCTCCAACTTTTAATACTTGCTGCCCTGTTAACCTGTGCCACTGTTACTGGAGTGAGATGGTACCTCATTGTGGTTTTGATTTGCGTCTCTCTTATTGCCAGTGATTTGGAGCATTTCATTATGTGTCTGTTTGCCATTCAAATATCTTCCTCTGTGAAAACTCTTTCCATGTCTTTTGCCCATTTTGTAATTGGGTTATCAGTCTTTTTCCTGTGGAGGCCCAGGAGTATTCTGTAAGCATTTGTTATAAGACTCTTGTCTGAGATGGTATTACCAAATGTTTGTCCCCAGTCTGTAGATTTTCTTTTCATCCTGTTGGAAAAAGTTTTTGATGCACACATGGATTTAGTCTTTAGAAAGCCCCATGCATCAGTTGTATCCTCATTAGATTGTGCATTTCTGATTGTACTTGGCAGTCTCTTTATACCTTGAATTAGCGCTTCTAAGTTTGATCC